GGTGGCAGAAGGCAAGAAGTTGCTTCTGTAATGGCAGTGTTGGCTTGTGGTCATTTCAGACTGGTCCATGGCAAGTTAGTGATGCAGAGGGGAATGCTCTGCACTGTCATTGGGAGATGGGTTTCGTTCTGAGTGTTGTTGTTCCCAGGTCTGCATTGAACACAGCGACTTGTAGATACTTAGGGCTCAACCCGGAGGGCAAAAAGAAGTTCCTTCTGCTGGTCTGGAAGGACAGTTGAGACTCTTCTCAAGAAACTGCTTATCTTTGGTGAGAAAGAAGAGCTGAAGCATGAAAACCAGTGCTTGAGTTGTCTGGGTGATTTTCTTGAATGGAAGTGCAAAAGAAATAACAAAAACAGAGAAACTAAAAAGTAAGTAAATAATAGGAAAATAGTAGGGCTAAAAGAGGGGGTTTTGTAGAAATGTATAAGCAGGCAGAGGGTAGGGTGAATGTAGGGTGAATATAGGGTGAATGTTCACAAAGACAGGTGGGCTTGGGCCTGTCATGACAAGGGAAAAGAGAGCTTGACCTGCAGCTACTGATACAGAGACAAGTGTCTGATGCAGTTGCTAGTGTCTCTAATGTAACACCATTACTGTTGTTGTTGCAGCCTTCCATAGCTGGCTACCATCTTCTCTAGCTGGAAATGAAGTGGGTCTCTGTTCCCTTGGGAATACAGAAGTTATTCATTTTTTTTCCCAGAAGAAGGGAGAGTGCTGCTTGGAACGCCAGCTGTGACTGGGGTGGTGTATTTTGCAACGTTAGGGTTTGGGAGGCGTGGTGTCACAGTGGCTGGGCATCCCTGGAATTGTTCTGTAGGTAAAGGTCCACGGAGCAGTCTGTGCCAGGCTGGAGAGCTCGCTGCTTGGATTGTTGTCTGGACAATACTTTCACTGTATAGCTGTAGGGCTGACACATAGAGTATGTTATAGAACAGTGCTGGCTGTGTCTCTGTCTTGGCATGTCTCAGCAGGCTCTGTGTTGTAAGCACTTGCTCATGAAGCTGCCAGAAATAGATATCTAATGGCAGAGAATTTACTAAAATTGATCTCAACCCTGTCAAGATGCAGGTTCAGAGAGATCTCAAGTTGTAGAGAAGACGTTGGGGAAGTTACCTCTTACTGGCTGCTGAGAAAAGGAGCTTACACAGAAAAGTAAGCCATTGGTGTGTTTGGTTTTATAAAGTGCTTGGGTCTAGTTACTAGTTTCAGTTACTTCTTGACTCAGTTAACAAGAGTCTGTCTGATAGCCCTATTAAGTAACTTACTTCAAACCAACTTCCTTACATGGATGTTTACTTTCAGGTGTGGTAGAGTAAGAATTATAAAAAAATGTACTTCCCTGAGAAAATAATTGGTGTCTGTGTTTTGAGCAGTGTTGTGCATATATACTGGTGTTTAGGAATGGGCTGGCAGTTGTTCTTGTAACATAGCACAGAGAGGAACTGCACTGAAGTCCCTCAAGACAGCAGTCTTTAGCCTGGCCTCATCCAGTATTAATTTTCAGGATAAGAATGAAGAATAACAATATTTTCTTAATGGATTGCCATGGAGTAAGTACTGAGAATTGCTTCTAAAGTCAGTATTTAAGTCAAAGTACAATTATGCATGGGCTTGTGACAGGCATTGTCTGTGCATAAAATATTTAATTTGACAAAAGTACTTGGTACCATCTTGCTTCTAGCAAGATGGTTTTGATTTTATATGTGCAGTAGAAGGCTGGTTACATGTGACTGAACAAAGTCTGCTCCACCTTCTGAGAAATGCCATTGGTGTGGGTCTTTGTTTTGTTGTGGCTGATCCCATTTCAGGTTTGGCCGTGGCAGAGTGCACTCTTGCATACATGAAATATGGTTACAGGAGAAGCCAGTTGTATGCATATGGGCTCTGCTGGACTTGCAGAAGGTCATTTACATTTCAGTTAAAACTACAAATGGGTTTGCAGGTGACTGTCTGGCATTTAGAATAGTACTGAAAACTTTGAGGTAGTCTGACTGCTTGATCCTTCCATGGGATGCTGTCATTTCCTCATTATCTCTAGTCTGGATTAATGCATTAGAAAGTGTTTATTTCGGATCAAGGGTTTTTAGTCTCTTAATGCAATGTCCAGTGGTTAGGATTTCAGGAAGCAATTCTGTTTTCAGGTTTTGTGCAGTAGCTTATAAAATGTAACATGTTAAAAAGATGCACGCTTTCATTACGATGAGATTCACTGCAGTATTATAAAGTGATTCTTGAAGCTTGTCTTTGGGCTACTTGTGTTGGAAACTTGGGATGGAATCTGGACATGCTGGAGCTGCTTGCACGATTCCTGCATCCAGTTAGTCATCCTGCGTGTGTTTTGCATTGCTCCTTTTCCAGCTGCCTCAGGAAGAGGGAAAGTGTGACTATTTGTTTCCCCAGACCATCAGCATGATAGCAACACTGAGGATTTTAGCATGTCCTGCTGTAAGATCTCTATGTGGAGAAGTCAGGAAACCCCACAGTTCTGCCATGAGTTGATAATTACACCATTGCCCTTTTCTTATGTGGGATGGAAGGACTTTAATTCTCATTCCTCCATTGCATGGAATCAGCAGAGAGCTGTCCTGATCATCTCTGCAGCCTGGTAGAAGGGTTAATGGTCTATTAGATCATCATTTAGAAGGGGGTTGTATGTATACAGTTTCTTTCCTCAGTTTTTAATACAAAACTTAATGGATTAGCACAGAACTTCCACAGGATCTGCATATCATCCTTATTTTATCTGTTTTATAAATCATTCTAACATTTACAACCTTGTTTTGGCTAATGTTTATTAACTATGATGAAATGGCATTTTAATGATCATAGCTTCCAAAGTTGTCATTGAGTGATTAATTATGTAGAAAACATTGTTCATCTCAAAAGTGTTTGCCATTTTATGAAGGTACAATTTTATAAATATCAGTTAATAAATTTTAGTGCAATAACCCTGGACATATTTAATCTCAGTTGGAATTCCATTAAATCTTTTTGCTTTTCTTATAAATTGGGAGTTCCCGAATATTCTTTTAATAGATTAATCCCACTATTTATTCTCAAATCCAAACAGGATACAAAGTATCCCTTTCCCTTTGTGAGGGAATTATTCTCTCTGAAATTGAAGCTAGTAACAGGACATAAAACTAATATGCTGATCCTTAAGCTGTTTCTTAGTGGTGTGTGCTTAGCTGTAATCATTGGCTAAAAATAGTCTGCTGTGAGCTGTGATGTGTAGAGCCTGAACAGCGTTTATATAGACACTGATTGCAGGTGCTTCCTTACATACTGTATATATTTGCAATCCTGTAGATTGATCTGCATGGATGCTTTTAAGAACTCTGTTCCACAGCCTGGAAACTAAAGGCCAAACATGACTGGAAAACAAACAAATAAACAAATAAAAAGCTTAAGAGTGTCTTTATGTGTTGGCCAACCTTGTGAGCACATATGACGGCTGTTTTTCATTTTAGTGTGGGGCTATGTTGAAGTTATTTATGGTAATTAGTCAAAGTAGTTTCTCATTTCTTAAGAGCTTATTCCACAAGTATAGAATTTAATCTAGAAGAGGCAGTCTGTTTTTCAGTGATGTTTAACACTGAATTTCCATCGTACAAGGTTCACATTTGTGTTTATATATTTTAAAAAGCATTTTTAAGTGTGTGTCTAATGATTTTCGTAATTATATAGTAAATTTTGTAATCTTCTCTAAATTGCTTTTAAATTGGGAATGGGATGAGTGATTCTGTAACTGTCTTGTGTCTTAGTTTTTATTTGTTTAGCGATATTTAATTTGTAGCCATCATGTAATTCAATTATCTTCGTTCCATCTCCACAGCCTTGCTGAAATGAGGCTTTGCGGTTGGTGTTCAGAAATGTTTTGTTATCTTTTATGTAGGATGAGATGAACACGGTTAACATTGGGCAGTATTCTTTTCCATTACTTTAGCACAAGTTGTGAAAAAACTGTTGGGAGCTGTAGAGCGACCCCCAGAGCTTCTCCATGTCTGTTGTCCCCAGCCAGCATGGTGTTCCTCTGCTTGGCTTACTCCACTGTGCCAGTTGTTTTCTCCTTTGGGCTCCCCAAAACTGTTGGCAGGATTTGAAACACGGCTTCAGGAGGGCTCAGTTTTTGCAGTGATCATTTCTCTTGACTTGCAACATGTTATCTTCTTGCCGGTCCATCCCTCAAGGTCCCCCCTGAAGGTTTTTCTCTCCTCTAGTATATCAGCCCCACTCTCTAGCTGGCTCTCAGCTGGGAACTTGCTCAGGTTGCCTTTGATCCCCATGGCCAGAGCAGAAGAGGTTTCAGTGTAAGCTACAGAGTAGGGTTTGGTCTGTCAAGGATGGGAAAAAAATCAGCAAATACTAATATTTATATTTTGGTGCTTTAAACACAAAGGTATGTTGCTTCAGGAAATCAATCTAAAAAT